GACTGAGCTAGTGCATCATTGCAAATTTTGCTTAAAATAAGCCGAATCCCACAGGAATGAATCTCACAGGAATTAATGTTAAGTTACTTTTTGGAAGGAGAAAGAAATATCCATCTGTGCAAAAAATGTACTGCAGACATAGCAACAGCTTTGTGTGTATGGAACAGTTATTATTAGAACACAGCAACGACTATTTAAAAAAGCTAAGAAAATACACTAAATGCAAACACCAAAGTGGAAAGTCACAGGATGCCAAAGTGTAGATAAATCCTAGAAAAACAAATGAGACTGCGACAAAGAACCGATCCGAATAGCTCACAGCAGGTGTGCAAGGCTACTTCCTTAGCATCAGGAGGTGCAGACRGAGCACAAATGATGTTCAATGTGCGCATGTTAGCAGAGCGACTGGCTCCACTTCTGTTGTTCTCTACCAACAATATGGTGCAAAATCCAGATTTAAAACAGACAAAAGAAAACCACACCCAACACCTTCTGGTGAAGGTTTTGTCCTAGCAGGTAGGAAACCCTCTGCTGGAAGCAAGCCAGACGACATTCCTCCTTTGCCTTTGGTTCCTATGTTTCCTCCTTTGGCAGCACCTGGCCAAGGTCGAGCCCTTCCCAAAGACGGACACTCTGAACACATAACATGGTGTTCTTCTGACCCACTCAAGGTGTTCTTGCAGGTATCTTCTCTGAACCTACTGCTTACTAACCCACGTAACCTGGCTTCACAGGAGTCTTTGGGACATTGTTGGGTTTGGGGTTTTTTTTTCCTATTGACCTCCTTCTGTATTTCCTCAAACAATCCTTAAGTTTTCACTTTGCAGCCAACCCACCACTTGGGCACATCAGTCATCGCTGGATGGACAGCCTCCCTTCCCCATGGGCCCTCTCTGAAACTCTGTTCTGTTGCCATACTTGTACAAAAGCACATTTTTTAAAAAAAGACAACACAGCCCAAATTTGGACAGYGCTAAGCAGCTACAGCACTGTGGGAGATGAACACCACCACCGCCATCTCCCAGCTCTTCATGTTCTCCCTGTCTGCCCCTACTTGTCATTTCCAGGCCTTTCTCATCTGGATGGCAGGCATTCAGGCCAAGAACTGCCTTTTTTTTGTCGTTTATGAGTTCTCCAATATGCCAGAATCTCAAAGCTGTGACTGCAGCTCCCGGGCACAGCATAAAACTGAAGTGAGATTGCATAAAATGTAAGCAGTTATTTTAAATTCAATGTTACTTAGCATCAAGTCAGTGACTACTACCATCCAGAAAAACAACAGTGCTTTAACTTAAATACTTATTTGCTATTTTTTACATAGTAGACTCTGCAGCTCGTCATTTCTGAATCCAGCCTATGACTCCTCAGGCCTCCCTTATATAAGGGAATCTGTGGAAGTACCTGCAATACCCTGTGTTTCAATGTTGTGCCACAATGTTGTGTGTTGTTATTCCAACAAGGCCCACAGCATTAGCTCAGGGTAATACTCATTCAATCCCTCTTCCCGTTCAGAACATGAAAGAGAAACTCACCTTACTCCCCTGATAGAAGCRGCGCTGAAGTTCCACTCATGAATACCTTTCTGCAACACAGAGAAGAAAAACATTCCTTCTATAAAATGAAGAGCCAGAAGGCACAGGTTCTAGTYTAGAACTCAAGGGAAACACTTCAGTTGCAACAGTTTATTACCCTCTAACAGTTATTCTTCATTTTTTCAGCCACAACCAATGTGACAAGTTCTAGGTAGAAGTTTTGATTTGCTCATTTCTTCACTGTTTACACTGTTTTTTTGTCTGTTTTTGTTTTTTGGGGATTTTTTTTTTTTTTTTGAAGAAATTGCAAAAGCAGCAGAGCAGAAGGGCTGCCTCTATAGACTGTCCTGTGTGCTGAACTCAAGGTCATGTGCCACCCTCTGGAAACAAGGAGGAAAATAAAAAGATCTGTGGGAATAAAAGAGCCAGCTCTGCAGCTTTGGCGCCTCAGGACGTGGGAAGAACAGGCTGGGAGCAGTAGAAACCAGGAGCTTTGATGCTGCAAGGCAAGTCCCTGAAAAGCCATCAGAATCGCTTGGGGAAGGAGCGAACTGAAAGGCCGACCGCCCAGGAAAGAGAGAGGAGACTATCCCTAAGAAAAGGGCAGCCAGGCTCCACCAGCACCCGAGAGCTGCTGGCCTGGCAACCAAGGCCAAGATCTTAAGACAACGTCTTGCAGAAGCAACAAGGGCCAGGCCTCAGTTATTTTTAGATCTTTTAAGTTTAAATCTGTCCCAGAGCAGAACTGAGTTCTCAACACAGAGCCATAGTGCTCTAAGTTGAAGTTCTAATAAAGCTTCAGGAATCAGAAGCTTTTTGTACCTTCCGATGGACACACTCTTTCAGGGAAGTTTGAATTACACCAGCTCAAAACAAGCACAACCAAACAAACACAACCAACTGTATCCCAAGAGAGGAGACGAAGCTGGGCAGCTTATAATACATTTCATGAATAGTGAGATCCCGAGAGGTTATGACAGATACACTGCCGAAATAGTCGCRGTATGTGCAACAAATCAGAGAGAAAACTCTTTTCTCAGATACAACATTTTTCTGCAAGCCTCCCTGGATCGGTTTCTCCTCCATAACTCTTTCCTTGCTGTTCCAATCGTACTACAGGTTGTGACACTAATACAGATTTTCTAACACAATGTGCCATACTTAGATGCAGTTTGATTCCCTGAACTTCACAAGACTGTAACTGTAACACATGGTTACTGAGGTGTCCAGTTCTTCCCTGGTGTAAAACAGGGGGCTGGGAATTCCGATGGGGGAAGCAGACAGGGAAGGAAAGAAGCCAGAGGTGAAYAGAAGGACCAAATTAAGGGTTTGCGAAGCTGCCATTTGAGTTGCCTGGTTCTGTGGCATAATGGTGACCAGCTCAGTCCCTCTGCTAACAAGGAGAGCGGATCTGCAGGGTCTTCTACTTCTCCCTCCTCGTATGAACTCTGCCACCTTCCAAGTTTCCATCCTTGGAAACTTTCTTTAGTGCTTTTCTGCTGGTGCCTGTCCAATTCCCACTACTGGGAATAATCTAAAATTCAAATCTAAACCAAGCACCCTGACAGGCAGATCTGTCCAAGCAGCACAGCAAGCAGCACAAGCACTGTGCGTTTTACCTGCCATTTACATGCAGCTAATGTCTCCTGGATTCATACATCTTTCATTTACCACATCGTGTTCTCAGGCAACAAAATAACACAAAAGCTGTGTCCCCCATGATCTTGCCAAGTTTTGAACACATTGGAGTAAACATATCAGGCACGCTATCCAAATCCAGCATCTGTTCTTTGGTTAGGCAAAAAACCCACCAACCACTCAAAACAAAACTCAAAATGGATTCAGAAGCCAACCCGAAACAGAGACAGGCTGTTCTGTTTCAAACTTGCAAACAGCACTGCTGCATTCCTCTGAACCTGTGAGGGAAAAAACTGCTAAAGCCAGGCAACGGGGAGGCAGCATAACATGCATACTGAAAAATATAATGCTATCTGACTTGTATGCATATCTCTCCATGTTAAACTTCATGCTGTGGAAGGCATAAACATTCAGATACATTGCTAAAGAGTCACAGAAAAGGAAAGGGACACATTATTTTTCCTGGCATTGACTGACAACCCCCTAGCCATTAGTAATTTACTGCTTTCAGACTCCACTGTTTGAGTTCCATTTTGCATTTGAAGCAGAAATTCATTCTATGCACAAAAATAAACAACCAACGAACAGAAAAACATACTCTTTGGAACTCACATTTTTCATTCTCAGAGCACTGACTCAATTTTGGAAAATAATGAGAGRCAAATACATTAACTTATGGGCCAAAGTGAACTGGAATCTGAACCATGTAGGTCTGTCATGCTTAAAGCTCTGAGTGACCTACGGTGGGCAGATTAAAGGTAGATGGTTGAAGCAGCTTCCAGCCCCACCTGCCTATCTYGTCCTTGAGCAAGGACAGCCGCCCCGTGCTTGTTGTGGCAGTTTTTAGGCACATATTAACAAGAAACAAAGTGAGAGCATTTCTCACTTGGGCTGAAATATATCTAGTTCCTTCAGAAAAAAAAAAAACTTGTCAAAGACAGACATTGCTTTGGTTCTATTTAGCCCAAAAGCCAGTTCTCTTCCCGTCTCATTCCTCACTTCTGATGGATCCTAAGGACTGACAAAATTGCAGCAGCAGATTAAAACTGTGTAAGCTGAAGCTGTAGCTGCAGGGTCACCCACTGCATTCCTCTGACGGATATCACTGCTTGCAGGGCAAGAATGCCACGAGGGAGTATCGATCAGATCCCAAGATACGGCACAAACTCGCCACGTTAAGGGTTCTGGCTACAGCAAAATACTTGCACGTCCATCAAAAATGACCTTAAATAACATGACTCATTAATAAGCAGGGTAGCAAAAACAGGAAACACTAATCTGCAGAAAAATGAGAGAATAAGGAAATAAGAATAAGGAAAAAAATCTGGGAATACCAAAGTGGAGTACAGAATTGCAAAATGAGAAAGCACTGCAAAGCCAAGGTCAAACTGTGGATAGCAGAAGCCACCACACACACCAGGCAAGTACAAACCAATACATCCAGACCCTTCTCCGGAGCACATGATGACTGCAAGCCATCAAACGAGACGGTCATGAGGGCAGTCAGGGCTGGAAGTATCAAGCAAGAGATTCCCCAGAAGCTAAAAGATACACTAATGCACCACAAAAGACTTAGAGGTGGTCTAGAGCTTGGGTGCTCAAGAAAAGCTAACTCAACCGGAATAAAAGCAGAGGCCATGGGAGGTTCTCCCTCCTGTCCCTCATGGCAGGGACACAAAGTCTACCTAAACACTAAAGTTTAAACACTTAAAGTTTTTAAAGTAAACACTAAGAGACATTACAATTCATTTATAATAAACTTTACAGAGGAACTGTTTACCATGGGCCCACAGGGACCAGCATGAGCATGCCATGGCTATGGACAGATCCYTACTGAAAGACCATGTGCCAGCCAGTTTCCTCCCCAGCAGCAGGTCCTCAGGGGCTCCTCCTGCAGGGCAGCCACGCTCTGCATCCACCTTCCAACACACTTCCCGGGGACCCCTAACAACTAGGTGACCCCTTAGACGGAGCTTGGCCCTGTTAGGTGAAACATTGCACAGCGAGTGGGTCTGCTCGGAGGGGAAGGCCCTCCCAGGGCTTCAGGCCCCACAGCCCTGACAGTCCATCCCTAGGCCCGTCTTATGTGACAGGAAAGCAACTTAACAGAATGGAATAGACCATTTGGAAATATATTGTCATATTTTAAAAGCAAAATAAATAGATAAATAAGCAAACAAAAAAAACACTATTCAATATTCAATGGCTCTTTCAATATACTAATTCTTATTTGTGCATTAAAGAAGTTCTCTTTATCACAGTACTACTGAGGGTGCAAAAAGAAGAAAGTTCTATTTTTTCATGCTGTATCTTTTGTGCTTTTTCAGTATAATGTAAATTATGTATGAAATCCTAAGCAACATAAGCTACAGATTTGTTGTAYACTACACATTAGTTTAAAAAAATCTGTTTTTTTTTTTTTTTTAAAAAAAGCTTTTTTTTTTTAATGATGGAAAGGAAAGATCCATTAAGCAACAGGACAATCTTAAATAAAGATGAAAAATGTTATATTAAAAGTAAATACTTGGCAAAAYATGCACAAGACATCTTCATGCATTTCACTAAAGCACTCTCCTGTGCAGAATCCATCATTAGGTATGACAGTGCACGTTATACACTTTATGTGACATGCACATTTTCTGGTTTTCGTTATCTAAGTCATAACTGCAGACAACACGATGGCATATACCTTGTCATCAGGCAGCACGTGCCAGATAGATACAGTCTTCTCCTCAGCTTCACTGTTGATGGAGAGATATGAAGGTTGATAAATTTTGGTTGGTTCTAATATTAAAACCTTGTAAAAGAAAATAAATGTTAAGAGTTAGTGAAGACCCTTAAAATTTGTAAGTATTAAAATCAGTTAGAACTAATTCTACAGTCATACCAAGGGCCACCAGGGAAACACAAAAAMCAATAAAATGTCAGGTACTGGGCTAGGTAAGAGTGGCTCATGCTAACATAAGACACAAAATGCCAATTTTATTTATTTTTTAATTCAAGCCTACTGTGTATCACTCASTGTCACACATTTTACTTTTCCCAAATGTTTTTTTCCAACTACCAGCAGAAATCTTCGGGATCTTCCTGCTGCAAGTCATCCAGTTGCAAAATGTCATTTGGCAATGCCTGTCTCCCATGTGGAGTCAGGTAGTGTCCTTATTATCTCACTGTAGAAGCATATTTGGGTGGCTCAAAAAAAAAAGATCGGGTAATTCTAGAGCAACAATTAACTGCTTTTAGTTAATGAAGAGTTCTAGCTCTACAGTGAGCTGCAGAAGCTGCATTCAATGATTTTCTCAAAAGCAATAATCACCATTGCAAGAAGCTCAGGCTGACAACTAATAATTATAGAAAATTTCTTGAAATAAATTAAAAAAAATCTGGAATAGTCATGTAAAAGAGAAGGGAGGCAGAAATATTTTAACTAATATAGCCAATTCTTAGTACATGAAGCCAAATCTACCACTCTAATAATGTTCTGACAGATTAACTTACAGATCAACTCCCTTAAAAGGAAAATGTCAACTGAAGAAATGTGGTTTCTCATTAAAACTTTCTTTATACTTCAAGGATTTTCATTGTTTAAAATCTGATGTCTAAAMCCCCAAATCTATATTGGATGTGTAGAAAGCATTCTTGATTTAAGAACGCGAAACATTGATATTAATTCAGGAAAAAGTCACTCTATCTTCCACTCTATCATTTATAAAAAGATTTCTGAGGCTCAATGATTGCCTAAAAAAGTGTTCAGAAGTTGGGATGGAGTTAAAGTTGGTAAACAACCTGATTATCTCCTTCCTTTCTTCTTTCCTTCTCTCTTCCATAAAAGCCCAATCAAACACCATCTCTAAAATATCCAAGCTGCAGAATTTCTTGTTTAATAATTTAGTTTCTACCAGATTGACTCTGGAATTTAAAAAACTGCTTTAGAAAATGAATGATTGACAGTGGCAATGTGGCCTACAAGAAGCTGATTTCTGAATAAGCTGCTTGCGTTGCAGATGCCACCAGAAATTCCCTTTTTCACTTCAAAAAACACACGAACTCTGCAGCAGCAGCAGCTCCTGGACAGGGCCCAGAGCCAGAGCCCTCGGCCACGGCAGCTCCTGCAGAGCCACCCGCCATGGGCACACACTTCGCAGCTCACAGAAATGCAGGGCCAAATTTTGAAAATACTCCGTAAATGGCCCGTAACTCTGTAAATGGGTGATGACTAGAGGGTTTTCAAAAGTGCTTCTTGGCATCTCTAGGCGCTTAAGTACTTTTAAAGATCTGGTTTAGATCACGTGGTGGTTGATGTTAGAGGAAGAAATCCTCTAAGGGCTACCAAGAGGATCATGATACCGAAGTCATCATCAGCTAACAGAGCAACTGACMGCTCAGCTGGTGTTAATGCCCGGGGAAGTCCCTGCCCTCACGCTTTGGCAGCAACTCACGCCAAGGAGTCTGCAGAGAACTACTTATGCTAAAGGAAATTAGTTGTAAGTATCTGCAAGAAGAAAGAGAAGTTATTATGTTCCATTTTGCTGGCTTGTTAAATGGCGTGGTTTTCCTTCCCAATACAGAGCAAGTGACAGAMAAATATAATTTTATAATATAAGACATCACATATTCCCGTCTGCACTACCAGAACTGTTTCCTGTATAATATAATCAAATTCTGTGGTCATTGGGATTATCGTTTAGCCYACACTATCTCCACGACCAGTTTGTCACTTAATATTAATAAAACTYCAAACTGTTTGGCTTGGACTGTTCTGCCTGTCTGAGTCTATTTTAAGTATTTAACTGCACCATTTCATCATCAAAAAAATCTAAAGGGGACACAGTTTCCCTTTTCTAAAACCCAGAGGATTAAAAATATTTTGTTTTGCTTCCCTCCGAAACTTTCGGCCCCTTCTCTTCAGCAAAGCAGAGGAAGCTCCTGCGAGTCTCACACCGTTTGCACTTCACTGCCCCAGGCTCGCACTGTTCAACACTGCAGGCGTGGGCTTTGTTACTCCACCGACACGGAACCCAAAACGTAGAAACCGAAAGAACTGCACAAAGCCAACACGCACTTCAAGTATTTGGAGRGTGACAATGACTACTATTTAAACTGTTAAATTATGTATTTGTTAATAATTACCAGAAGAAAAAAAATAAAAAAGGAGTACACARGACACTATTTCCTCATATAGATAGTGTATATGGGCAACAAAAGTCATTTTCATTTCCAGACTGTTTTTAGAACATCGAGGCATTCAGTAAATACAAAAAAAARTTAACAAATTATCTGTGAGAGTAAYTGAGAAAGGATATGAATACACATAAGCCAATGTTCAAAGCTATTGTCTGATAGTAGGAATAAGATTTCTGACTGTTTGGGTTCCTTTTCAACATCTAACAAAGCACAGAATTATCAGCAGTAGGATAGGCAAAGCCTGCTGAGGTAGAGAAAGAAATAAAATTGCTTTTCTTCCAAACCCAAAAGTGTATCGCCTGGAACACAACAGAAATTTTTGCTTTAAAAACATATCCACTATTAGYAAATTCTGTCTTGACGTTTCTCTTATTGCTTTGATGTGAAACAGCCTGTGCAATCCCATTGTAACCAAATGCAGGCAATTGAAATCAATCTAATGCACAGGCCAAATTAATTTCTTCTGGGCAAGGAATTTATTGCCTGGCAAGTTACAAAAATACAGCTTTTTTATTAASCATGTTTTGTATCGATTCCCTTCATGCCACAATTGAAAATAAAAACAAGACAAGACAAAACACTTACTGGAAATCTAACTACAGACACATCTGTCTTTGTGGCTTCAACAAGGAAGTCCATCCAGAAGTCGACAAGTTCCTGTTTGGCCATATGTTGCTCTGGATTCAGTTTCTTAAAATGCTGATATATCAAAATGGTCTCTACAATAGACTTCAGGTACCTATGATCATCGAAGCAGACACACACAGTACATTTAACACAATTTGTGAATAATAATCTCTCTACATTTAATCACAACTTAAGCATTCACTACTGCGACACCAAGGTAGCCAGGAAGATTTTGGTTCTCTAGGACTGCTTTTAATAATAACAGTTTCCCAGTGSGCAGGGAGTAACTACATCACTAATCCAAAAGATACATGAGTTCAGGGACCCTCTTTCCTGCACATATTCCTATCGCTTTTATGGTGCCTGCTATCCTAAACCATGAAAGCTTCCTGAAATAGCTAAATGTTGTCCTTTCAGACTAAACTGGACCCTTGCCAAGCTTGTTTCAGTTGTGACCAACCTCAAGGGAAAACTCAGGTGAAAAGCCCACTGTTCAACCCAGTGCACTCACTGTTCTGGCTTCCACACGGCATCTCTTTTGAGAGATCTTTAATGCAGATTTTTAAACATGGTGCTTTGGGGAAAAAAAAATACCATAAAGACAACAAGGGCCACACTAAATAGCCTTTTGGCCTTACTGGAGAAAGGATAGCTGAAACTGTCTCCCAAATGAAGCTCATGCCATTCTCCAGTATTTTTTTCCTTCTGGGTCTGGTTTATGGGCCCCTCCAAAGCACTGATTTCTCTTGGCTTTTTTTTTTTTTTTTAAGGAGGGGAGAAAAAACAAAAAAGATGTCAGCATAATCTTCCATATTTTTTATGACTAYTAGTGTGACAAGTTGTTTAAGACTAAATAGGATTTGTCACAGTAATCATAGTTAAGATTCCCTTTAAAAAGTAGTTGGGACACTTGTGGCAAGATGCAAACTCAGAGGCCTTTTGGAAACCCTGCCACTGCTGTGCAGGCTCTGACTGTCCTGCTGAGGCCATGTGAATATCCTGGGAAAGGTCCTGCATCTGTTGGGAAACCCCTTTGCACCTTGAGGGCCCYGCTGAAGAATAAGTAATGGACTGGGAAGGAATTTCTCACAGGAGAAATATTCCTGAAAAGCAAGCGGGGGCACTGTGTTTTCAGAACTTAAACCACAAACTCCAATCCCAAAGGCCCTGGTACATAAAATCCYGGCAAGCAGGCATTTATAAATGCCAAGAAATTCTAATCAGAGATTCCTAAAGAGTATTATTCAATTTTTATTAAAACTTAACACATAGTAAAAATTGAAAGCATTGCAGATAAAAGCTCTTCACAATATGCTTATAAAATATTTGGTTAAAAAAAGTCAAGAGACTTGGTGTTTCCTATGTTATGTTAATAGGCTCTCTGGAGACAGACTTTTCTGCCTGTATAAAAGGACAAAAGCAACTAGGCTGTGATATATGCACTTGAGTGCTAAAGGGACAGCTCTCAGTAAAGACAGCCYGGATTCCCAGAGCTGGCAGCACCCCAGGCCTTGGGGAGCAGGTGACTTGCTGCCTGCAGCAAGCAGGGCAGGTGCTGGGAGCCGGAGGACACAGCCCTTGTGCAACAGATGCTGCGGGCACAGAGCTCTCCCCAGCCTCTCATTTTACACCACCTTTCCATTAAGCACACTTTGATCTGCAATGCTCTCAGACATAATCAGATGAGATTTGTACCAAACAGCTCGTTTGTCTGCACGCCCCGAAACATCCACGCAACTGTGACTAAATCCACGTGTCCCCACCACTTCTCCTCCTGCACAAGGTCACTGAACAGCAACACAAACCYGGGTCTGCACTGCTCTTGCCCTAAGGAGGGGCCAGCGCCAATGGCGAGTCCACCCTCCCCAGGCTCTGAACTGAAACGTGCTGTCACTTCTCTCCCTGCAGCAGGCTTCCTAGCCTGTGTGCAAGGGCAAGCARGTGAGATTCAGACTAGCAAAATTGTTTAACCACCGGTGAAATAATCCATCATATACATTCAGGACAATTTTCTTGTGATCCCTCTAAGTCTTATGATTTGGAAAATTCTGCTGTGAGAAAAAAAAACAAAGTCCTAATGGTCTAACTGTCTCCAGGGCTTCAGGAACATGGTTAGGCGTCGGTTTCCTTGCTTTGCACAGTGTTTCTCACATCAGACAGCAAAAAATGATCTGAACATGCGTTCTTAACCAGCTCTGAACACCTCCTGTGAGGTTKGCTGTTAGAAGCATTGCCAGCTTGCTCTTACGTCAAGTGATTTTGTATACAGGGAGAAAAACAAAGCACAAAATGACACATTGACCAGATTTTGCCCTGAAAGGAGAGTTTTAAAGTGAGAGAGCATTTCTTTTGAAATCACAAACATAACACTTCCTGGGAAAAAGAGACACATTTTCATTTTAAAAWAACAACAACAACAAATAAGTTATACACATAAAAGCCTAAATCAGTTACAAATAACGCTATGACATTTTGAATGCTTTAAAACACAGCAATGTACATGATGCTGCTCATCACCTTACCATGCTGGTGCCTTTAGCTTAAACAGCTTTTCTGAAGCCTGGATCACTCTCATGTGGTCGTTAGCCAACATACTGGCCCCCAAGAAAGATCCCACTTCCCAATAGCTCTGCAGCTTCTCCAAGCTCCCTTTTTTACCAAGCAGGCTGCTGATCTTTACCCCTGTAGTATAAGAATGATAGGTCACAGAAAGGTATTGAGGTAGTTTTAAAATAAATATTTTCCTAATTTCAGTCTATTCATTGACAGATTACTGTAGCCTCTCCATTTCAATGAATTAAGATGGAAATTATACTTACCAGACATTTTTATATGCCTTCCAAACATCATAAGCTGTAGTAGATGCTATGTCTCCCTCCCCCTCTTCCTACAGTCCTCTCAAGAAAGGAACTTTAAGACATCACTGTCAGGACAAGGCCACAGCCAGATTACCTATGTTCTTGCATGGACCTCATCTGTAAAGGTAAATTGGGGCCTTAGGCTACACAACACAGCTGCAAAAACTTAACAGATGCTGAACATGGCACCTATTATGTTTTTTTCTGCTTTTTTTTTTTTTTTTTTTTTTTTTTTGACTTACAAGCCCCAAGCCCCAAACTTACCTTTATAGACAAGGTCCCATGCAGAAAGGAGAGATGATCCATGGGGCTTCTTCCAGCAGTGATGTTCTTTTAATTGCCGCAAGTCCTACCCCAATGAAAGACATCTATTAATATTGGTAAGTCCCTCAGCAACTCAAGACCATGGAGGAGCTCAGGTTTTACCTTGACTTGCTATGTTTTCTGAGAACTACACGTTTCCTCGTGGCCTTCAGGATGGTTTCTAGCTCACAAGTGCTGCCTGGTGTTTATAGCTAACACAAGATAAGCTACAGTGTCACCCACAGACGCAAACACAACTCCCAGAAAAGCCTCTTMACCACCAGCAGTCTTTTATTCACTTTCCCCGCACTCCTCCGCTACGGCAGTTTCCCTCCCACATCACTTTGCTTTGTCCTTGGTATTAAGGCTGAGTATTCCCAAGAAAGATCAACAGTTGTGCTAAATTTATCTTTTCCTTTACTCTGCTTGCTAGCTGACTAAACTTCATTCTGGCAGCAGCAATAAATCTTATCAGAGTGGATGTCATTACATTAAAGATATTTCAGTCAAAGTTCATTTTGTTTTCTCATGATGCTTATATTTTGTAATCAGCCAGACAATAAACGGAGACAATTTTACTTTTTACTTAAATACAATTTGTCTATAGCCTGTTTCATGTATTTCACGTTTTGGGCTCTCCTGCCAGCAAGAAGTTGTCACATTTGCTAAACACGTAGAACAAAGTAACACTTAAATCTAATTAAGAACATGACTTGCTTCTTAAAAATAGCTTTTGCAAAGTACGGTCTTCATGAGAGACCATGGCARTTACATTATCTCCAATAATTTCCCAGTATACTGCAGTCGCTGTCTGTATGCATCTCAGGCAGCTCTGCAAGGCTTTCAATCAGGGTGCCAACGCACACCCTCATTGTCAACAGCAGGCTCCGGGATGTTTTGTTTTGTGATGCAGTTTGTGTTGTAGGCTGGACAGGCGGGAATTCAGGTTGTTTACTCCATTTGGGGTTCTGGAAACCGAAACCTATGCTTTATCCACATAACACAGTAAAAGGAAAAAATGTTCTCCCCTGGGACCCGGGGATATCAAGCAGCATCCTGCAAGGCTGGAGGGCCCTGCCAGCCGGTCTAACACACGCGGGCCCGCGATAGCAGCAGACACAGACACCTCTGCAGTTGCAGGGGCTCTGAACACGGCCACACCACAGGGCAGGCAAGGAGGGGGTATCAGCAGGGACGCAGCGGCGCCCTCCTCACCGGGCTGTCCCCTGGCTGGCAGCGGTGGGGATGGCAGCTCGGTGGGCTGGGCAGGCAGGGGGCCGCCCTCGGCGGCAGCGGCTGCTCGGGGGCCACAGGGCAGCAGCGGGTGCCGCGGCGCTGGGCCTGGTTCACAGCCACACAGGCCGCCCTTCAGCAACCCGCCCGCGCCCCACACGTGAGGGGCAGCTCCCATGGGGTGTGAGCGGCAGCGCGTGGCGCTGCTGAGCGAGCACAGCGTGTGGGGGCAGTGCCACCATCCCACACGGACAAGCGCCACGGGCTGCGCGAGGGCGCGTGGGGGGCCTTGGGGGACGCGGCTGGGCCGCGGCAGGAGGACGGCGGCAGAGGGGTTGGTGGTCACCCCGCCGTGCAGGAGCTTCAGCGCAGCAGCAGCGGCGGCACCTGAACACCACGCTCAGGAGCGCCGTTCAGTCCTGCCATGGGGCTGTCACAGGTTTTAACCAAGCATTCAGGGGACACTTGGTCCTGCTGCCTTAAAGAAGACGGGACCAGCTGCTCTTCACATCCCCCTGAGAGAGCTGAGGTGCTCAGTGCTGAAATTCACTCTGCTTTGCCGACCTTCCTGTAGAGAGCCCCGCTACAGACTTTACCCTGCCCCTGAGGGGCCTGAAGAGCTAAAAATGCCCTTGGGGTGCACAGACATTTACATGGGACCAAGAGAGAAGTGTTCCACAGAGGTGTGCTGGGTTCTTGTTTTGCTTTCCTGCGTCTTGGTCTTTTTCTCTYCCCTGAAACACAAAAACTTCTTTCCTTCTGTCAAAAGCAAAATATTCTTATAAAAAGCTGAATTCCAGTATACTCTATGGAAAATATTTTGTTTTTAGAGTAACTGAACAAAGGTATAAGAACCATTAATGACAGAATAGCAATTATGTTTATAATACCAAGAACATACCCACAGTTTGTGAAGAAAACAGGGCATTGTAACTAGGTATTACCTCTTTTTTTTTTTAAGGAAAAAAAAAAAAAGCTATGAAGGCTTTTTCATTAAACTGCTTTCCTTGATCAAATATTGAGAAAAAGAATTCATGTTAGCAGACTCTTTGTGTGCCAAAGTCACAGCCTGCAGAGATCATTATTGCCATGCAAAGAACTGCCTTTATGTTTTGGTCTCCAAGTTCTGTGGTTTGGTTAAGGAAAATACACAGAGGATTTTTATTGAAGCTTCATTTGATCACTTCATTATGAACTATTATTCTGTCATGTAAAGATATGAAAATTTAGAAGACAAAAGGGTAAAAATTCTCTTGGTTATGTGGACTTGCTTTTTTTAGAATTATTACATTGCTGCAAATGTAATCCAATCTGTATCTGCTAATTACAGCCTCATATACYCTTAGAAATGCTAGGATGGTTTTGCCATATCCTTGTGTCACCTTTCCCAATGCACCAAGAGCACCTCCGTGGAATGAGGACGGAGCTCCAACCTGCGTCTCGTCTCCCCCAGCAGCAGGACCTGCTCGAGTGCTGGGTGCTGTGAGCAGAGCTGTGGGCAGACACCGACCYGACAGCTCTGCCGGGCAACACTGACGCCCACAAGGGTCTCGGGAAGGCACCTCGAAACAGGAGCTGACACCAAAGAGGAACACTTGACCTTGGGGGCTAAAAATATAGCATTTTCCTCAACAATCACTGAGGTTTTGGTCAGTTTTATCTTTGTTTAAAAAATAAAATTTGCCCAGGAAAGAAAAAAAACTCTCAGAATTGCTCTCAGAACCTAACACAGCTCAAGGCAGCTGACAAACCTCCTTGTGTCCACATGGACCCAAGTCTTATCGCCAAGAAATGAATGATTACTGACACACGCAGGGCTCATATTATATCTGGATTTGAAAATTTGTTTAGAAACAGCTAAGTAAGTCATAGTCTCAAAATAGCTTAACATTTCCCATAAACATAGCAGAGACAGACCAGACACTGMAGATAACAGGAGGAATTGTTTGCATCACGGGTTTTCAGCAGAGGCCAAGCAAATATCTGTGTGAAAGTGCCTGTCCCATCGATTCTCTAAAATATCCTTCCACCATCCAGCAGCTGGGTATTTCTCCACTAAACCATTCATCAGCCACCGATGGAACTCTAAGCAACAAGGAACCTTACAAAATTTCTGTACATATAATAGGGTAAAGAGGCACTGGCCAAACTCTCAGGAGGATGACATCAAACATCTGATCCCTATAAATAATACTCAGATTTCATCAATTTGTCCCCATYTAAGTGGCTGCAGCCTGCACGGAATTGAGAAGTTTCCTTAAGTGGAAGGATTCAAAATTAAACTAGGCAATAAATAGAGCCCAGATTCTCTACGCTATCTGTAATTTCAAATTAGGCCAGCTGAYTTAAAATTTGCAGATGCAATGTAGAAAGCAAAATGTATGTATTTTTACCTCCTACACTGACACAAGAACTCAAATTCCAGCGTAGGAGATGACAGTGTTCTACCCAACCCCAAAAGTGAAATCACACCCACTCACACAAGGGCACGCACAGTAGCTGGGACAACTCTACACAGCCTATCAAATCCAAATGAACACCCTCACCACCACCAGAGAATTTTAATTCCACTTCCATTATCCTTATGGAAATAACCATCTTGCTTTGAGCTTCACACTCAAAAAACTGCACAGCATGAAAAAGAGAAATGCACATTATGCCCCTTCCCTGTGCTCCATTCTCCAAAGTGATCTTCACTGAAAGCAGATATTCCTCTCATCATGATACTCAATGCAGTTAGCTTTTGTAATACAGATCAAAATGATGAGATTCTAATTTTGAGGGGAAGAAAAGGAGAGTTCAGATGGTCAGATGACAATGTTAGCATCCTGTGAGGGAGCCTGGGAGTCTAACATTCTGTCTCATCCCAAATCAAAGTAACRTTTGAAAGCTGATTGCTGAAAGAACTATTACACAAGCATTTTGTTTCAGATAGGTCACACTGTTTAACTTGATTGTTCACACTTCACACTTCAAAAACATGTTATGTTGATTAAAACRTTTTGTCTTTTGCATGTTGAGAATAAAGCAGTAAAACTCGGAAAGTCAAATGAACCAATAACAAGATGTAAAAAAGCTACCTGTACCTAAAATATTTCAACTCTACCAAATCAACATTTGGAAGCATTATAAAATAATATAATCTTTAAAAGAAGACTTTAATGTAGGTAAAATACAACAACCCAACTGGCAATTTATGGTCACTAATGGTCACTAATATTATAAACCTGACTTTGCATTCTTCTCAAATCCAGGAAAATCTCAAAAGAAATGGACAATGTCACAGATTCAGGAAGCCTCAAAGAGAGCATTTGAAGAGAAATATGATCCTTTCCTTGCTCAGTAGACCCCAAAGAGGAATCAAGTTCCTTTGCCCCACTCTTAGGATGGGCTTTTTGTTCACATTTGCCTTTGTTCCACAGAACTGATTTTCAAGAATGCCATGTAGATAGGAAATTACCTCAGGTGACCCTTCGGGTGCTGCTTCTAGCTCATACAAAAGATGTCACTGCAAAGAAGGGCTGCYGGGTTTTACTAAGCTTACTCAGCTAATCTTACTCAGCTAAAACCCTGAGATTGGAACCAGTTTTTCACGCCACAGCTAAAATCGTCCTCGCCAAGTGGGATTGGCAGTGGCAGAGGGACCAATTTAAAGATTTATAAGTTCACTATCAAAGTATCCTTCTACATCCATGAGATGTTCTCCCATGACAGTGGGTGGTGCCTCACTTTACTAGAATGAGGTTTCACTGTGAATTAGCAAGCTATAATTACCAACTTTCCGCAGCTCAAAAGATGTATCAAAGTGATGTCCAGCTGCCAGGAGGAGAACTGCATAATTAATTCCTGACTGTAATGTTGGCTCTGATTCAAATGCCTTCTTGAACCTAGAAAAAACAAACATACAAGTTTACTTTCTAAATAGTGCAATCTAACAGGGGCATAATTATACTTTTAGGTACCTTAAGTGCTTATCTTCTGTTTACACAGCAAGAATTCATGGAAGCAAAAACATTTTACTGTTTTCCACACATGCTTTTTAGTTGTTCTTAGGAGTCTTATTTATATATCCCTCCTCCCATTTCCTTCCTCCTCACACAACAAACATAGGCCCTACTCATACGCCACAGCACAACTATAATACTTGACTGGATTTGCGATTTTCAAAGAGATTAAAGAAAAAATAACACTACCTCCTTGTTTCACAGTTATACTGATTTGTGGAGTATTTAATTCACTATGAAAGGTAACAGTTTTCACTGGCTTAAAACTTCGGATTATATTTTGGAACTACAATGATGACAGAGGATATCAAAATATGTTAATATAAAAGTGAGCAATATGAGATACCCAAATTATATTTTGCACGATTTCAGGTAGCACGAGTTTCATTCCTTACTGTCTCGCTGACACTGCCGCCTTAGGGACCTTTTTACACAAGGAAAGGGTCGGTTCTCTTTGGAAAGAACTTGCAAGAGAGCGATGGCAGCAGTATCCACCTCACTCGTCCAGCCTCAGAGCTGGCTCGTGGACGTCCATGGGTGTCACAGAGGTGGCTCTGATGGCCCCGGCCAGCCAGTGCAGCCAAGCTCCGCAGTGCTCCAGGGCTCCCAGCCGGCTGCTCCGCGGGGAGCACCACGCTCTGCAGCTTGGCCCTGCGGGCTCCAGGTGCTCTGCTGAACGGCAGGATACCCGGGATGACCTCCCTCCCTCCCTCAGCGCCAACCCTGCTTTCGCTCCTTGAGGCACCAAGAAAAACAAAATCCACAGCACAACATCCCTCCCACACACTCTACTTCCCCAGATTGGATACCTTGGGAATTTCTGTTCCTTGGCTCTATCTTTTCACTGCAAATTGCTTTCAAATCTCACCTTGCACCAAGAATTAGTAACAACTTGGGCCCCATAAAGCTCACTTGCTGCTCTTAAATCATTAACACCAGAGGGTTATGTGTTTCTTATTTGGTGTGATTTTATGCTGGGATTCTTAAATCTGCCTCATATAGTATGAATAACAAATGTCTGCCCGTATAGCTTGAATAGGAAAAATCTGCAGACTGAAAACTAACCCATGGTAATAATCCTAGCAAGCTGAAAACATTCACAATTTCCCCAGTAATTCACAAATCACACCTGCTCAACTGAACTGATTTTAATTGAGCCAGTGCAATTACTGTGTGTTGTCAAGCCTGGAATATCACTGGAGGAACCCGCACAGTGCCATGGAAAAGGAGCTCAGGTTCAGAATCAGCCCGTAAAGCAGAGGCCGGCTTAGCTGATGCAATTATAAATTCCACCCGAGAGCTGCAAGCTGACATTYGGGGAGATGCTGTAGTGCACACACTGAATTAGAGATAAAGCAGGGCAAAGATTTCAATAAAGACTTGGTAGTATTGGTGAGCCCAATTTACACTGCCAGAATGCATCAAAGAATGACAGTTAATAATTAACCTGTCATCTCTTGCCTCATATTTATGAGGAAGATGTCTTGTCCTCTTTTTTTTTTATTTTAGTTAGAAAAGCGCACACACTTCCTTCCTCTTCCTTCTTTTTTTGGAACAGACCAAAGCTTGGCATTACCAGCTGCTGCAAAGCTGCAGTTCTTCCTACCCTACGCCATTCTCCCTCGTGTTGCCTGCAGCCTCGTGCCTGCAGGACAGGGGTAGGTAACAGTCCCCAGTGCAATGTAAAGCAACGGGCGGCTCCCACACAGGCCCTTGCAGCCCCTCTAGCTCTGCCCCTCCACAAGGGCCTTCGTGAGGCTSTGACTCAGCCCACCGGCCGCATCAGGCCTGGCCTATGACTAGTGCTCGAGTTCAAATCAACATCCAGCACGAAGCAAAAGGAAACAAAGGCAGCTGACCCACCTGGCAGCCAAATCCCARCTTGGCTTGACACACACCACCTTGCACCGGGCAGCGAAGCCATGTCTCCAGGCGACTGGAGATGCCGGGTTATCCAGCCTGTCCCGGCCCGCTCGGCAGCCCCCAGCCAAGGTGCCTGTCCCCGTCCCTGGGGCGACACCTCTGCTCTGCCGGGCTGCCAGCACTGCCCCTCGCACCGGCACCTACCGGCCAGGACACTCGCCCCGCGGCCAGGGGCGAGGGCAGCTGCAGAGCCACGTGCCCGCAGCGACGTTACCCCTGCTCAAGCAGGGCTTTTTGTCCATTTAATTATGTTAGCGCAGCTCCAGGTTCATCCGTTTTTAGATCAAWATAAACCAGTAAAAAAACCAAAATGCACAGCTGTGAACACAAGTTTCATTCATTCAACTTTGCTCTCAGTAATACTTAGTATTTAAATTCAGATCCATGGTTTTTCTGTTTACATTAGATTGCGAAGCTAGCAAATTTTTTTTTTAAAACAGAATCCTGAAAGTTTGCTTTGGGCTTTGGCTTAGTGAAATACAAATTTTCTTTAATTCAAAACTGCGGAGAGGGAAATATGCTCTATTACTGCTATACTACTGCTATACTGACATACCGCTTGTCTTTAAAAGTCCAGACAGAATTAGAAAACTATAAAGCATGAAAATCAGACATAGATTTTTGAGACCATAAATGGTAAACAATTATATATTATCTTTTTCCAAAGGCAGTTTTAATCTGAAGTTGACTGAAAGCAAATAATGAATAGCAAAGGGGGAAGAATGTTTTTAAATTTACACATTTACTTTGACACATGGTTGATGAACACAAGACCAGAACTAGAATTTGATCTGTGCAGAGTATGCACAATATAAACAAAAATTGCCTGTATTCTCAAATACTCCGTTACAATGGAGAATGCACAGAGCTCATCCTGGCAAAAGTCTGGGATGGAGTCCAGTGCATCCATTTAGAGTACGTCTCTTTTAAGAATTAAAGTTTGAGGGATAAAATAAGAAAAAAAGAGCAAATTTTTTAGAAAATATATTCCACATGACAGTTATCAAAATATGGTACATAAAAAAAAAAGAGAGAAACATGATATTTGCAGCTATAATTATCATAAGAGTTTGCCTAGCCCACTGTGTGCTGCTGTGCCTGTCAGTGGTACTGCAGACCACTGCCACACACCTGTATTACATACGGTGATGCTGAGACAAAATTTTTACCGCCACGAGTCTGAGACAGTTTTATTGGTTGTGAGTGGGAAAGCCAGAAAAGAGCAGAACGCCACATCTGTTCAGGGTTTTACTTCAGCACCTTTAAGCCCAGYTGGTTAATATCCAGCAGGCTGCACATAGGTCAATTGGCTTAAGCCTAACGATTGTCTACCCCAGATTCATAAGAACAATGTATTAAATAACATATATTTGGGGGAAGGGAGTAACAAGCTATGATGAGGACCATCTGAAGTGCTTTACAGACTTGGATGTTTGTCTGCCTAGAACCAGATCAGCGAACCAGACAAATCTCTCTTTCTTAATATATATGCAATGCTTAGGCTAAAAGATTAAGTGTATCCCTTGGGAACACCAAATAGCTGGAATAAAAGTTAGACATATATTCTTGTTGAAGAAATACTTTACAAAAAGAACATAGACCAGAAAAGCAGTACTCACCAAAACGTCCCTTTGTSTCTGCTTTCTGTATCTGTGAATCCAGATTCCAAAAACATGTCCTTGTAGATTCGCCCAACCAGGCAATACATATCTGAAGCTACTTGGTCTTCCTGTTGTACCAAAGGAGTCATAATTTCTAGAGCTTTCTGTCTGTCTCCAGGTAGGTTTCGCCTATTAAAATATTTGTTTTGATAAACAAAAAGATAATCTTTTTCATCATCACTTGCAAATATGTATAAAAATTTTGTCCACCTCAACTATTTTTCTAGACATAATGGACTACATTTTGTGTGTATGCATATATTCTTTTTCATTGCAGGGCACCCTTATTGAACTGTTTCAAAAAAATCTTGAATCGTGTTCTTTCTTAAACAATATCAGCAAGAGCAAAATAGTGGCAATAACGATAAGAAAAGCCTCAGGAGCAATTCTTAGCCTGCAGAAAGAAAATTCAAATAGCATATGGTGCTTTATTAGTAAATATCAATATATAAACTTAGATTTTATATCTGTTTAAGATTTCTCTCATAGTCATTCATCCTAAAAAGAGATTTAATCTTATGTTTGTGACTTTTCATACATATATTTTGAAAAAAAAAATACAAAAAAAGATTGAACTCCCAGGATAAGAAAGGTTAAGGAGTCAAGCCAATGAGGTAATATTAATAAAAATACTCCATACAGATAAACCACATAATTGCAAGCATTAAACACTTCCTGGTGAGTCACAGTTTGGATACATACATCATTAGCAAGGCTTCAGATTTTTTTTAACATATTTTTGTACTAAACAAACAAGTGGCTCCTTTCTCAGTAGAAGTCATTCTTCGCTGGTTTGGGAGAGTTTTGCTCTGTTTTCTTTTGTAGAAGTTTCTTCAAGTATTTTAGTAGCTATAATTTGTATTAGGAGTTGAAGCCTTGTTGAAGGCTGCCTCTTGAAACAAAAAACAAAGCAATACAAAAAAAAAGACTTTTTCAAAAAAAAAAAAATTCTAATCAGAAATTCATCAGTGGAAGTTCTTCTTCCCAATGAACAAAAACATACCAGAGCTCTGACATGTCCACACGGGCAGTGTGTCAAGCACGAGAGAGCAGAGCATTTGTTAGCTCCGCAATGAATGAGCTCCAAGAGGAGCTCATGTATGCAGCTCCAAAAGGAAGCGCTGTGAGAGAATAAATTTACATTAAGTAGAACTAAGCAGCAGAGGAAGAATGAGCACTTGCGTCATAACATAAAAACAATCACAAAAATAATCACAAAAAAACAGAAGAAAAGCACTCGTTTCAGCAGTCAGTATGAACTGCTTTCCTGAGCACAGACCCCGCAGGTTGTGTAAGACCCAGGTTCTGGGCCAAACTCTGCAGATGTCTCTGCCTGGTAGGAAGGACAAATGAAACCCTCAGTTCTCTCCTTCCAAGCTTCAGACCAGTCCCATTCTATCAAGTTAGGGAAAATCCCTCGGCCTAAAGAGCAGCAGTGGTCTGCTCAAGGACTTCCAGAGGGCAGAGTAAGGCTGGTTTGCCTCTTTTGAACTAGATAGATGCTCCCAACCCTGGCCCTTAAAGAGCCATGAAGTGCTCCTTGCTGAGCAGGTAACAGAGCCCTCCAGCTCAGCACTGCTTTGGTTCCTGTCCACTTGTTTAAGGTTTGCTTCCTTCTGTCTTTTCTAGCACTGACCATGCTAGTGAAGCAGCAGTGATAAGTCTGCAGCTTCTTCACGTTTGCTGGTCGACTTCCACCACAGAGAGCTATTTTCAGAGTGGAAACTCGGTTAGACAACTCCTCTGCAGTCACAGACTGACTATCACTAATCCTAATCAAATCAATAGCTACTTGATCTTGATGAGAGTTAAGACAGGCCCAGCAGTGCTTTATGATAACAGACATTTATACTTTGCTGGTCTCCAGAGAGTGAGGCCCCTACTTTTCAATCTCTACTTGCTCTTCCATCATTGCATCACTTGCGCACTTGTGTTATTTAGGTCAGGCTAATCCCACCTAATTGAGCTGCTCTGCCCCTCAGCACTCATGACCTAAATGAGAGGCAAAAGATGTAACAACTTCTATAGCAAACACTCAAAAATGCATCTTGAACCCCACCAGTCACTACCAGACCATCCAGACCCGACCTAGCTCAGGAAGCTGCCTTCATATTCCCAACAAGCAGAAAGCTGCAATTAGTCCTAGCAACACCTTCCTCAATGATTCCAGCACACATCAAAGCATGAATGATTATTTTTGTGGTTGTTGTTCATTTTGCTTGAATTTACAATCTGAAGATGGAAGAAAGGGAGGAAAAAATGATCTGAACTCCTTTGGAGACAGAGTAAGGAATTTTTGTCATGTTAGATGAGCTATAAGACCAAACACTGCATTTTAGCCAAATCTTTAAAAGTAGAATTTTCTGTCTTCAAGAACTCCCAGCAGAACCAAGGCAATGTCTGTCTGAAAGGACTGTATTGCATTTTTGCAGCAAAAAATAGTTTTAAGCACTCCAGTGAATGAGAGTCCTGTTATCAAAAGTGACAACAAGACTTTTTTATTTTAGAAAATGGTGACCTTGGCATCCAAACTACTTCTTACAGACTCACAGGTGTAGAATGACTGTCGTAAAGGCTTAAAAGTGGCAGATATGTGCTGGATTTTTAATTTGCAATGCTTACAAATTTATGGCAAAGTAGGAACAAAACGGGCTCAATATTTATGTCTTTATAATAGGCCAGAAAGAGTCTGGACATTTTATTCAGACAGAACCATGCCAGGCAGCTTTTTTGATAACATATCTATCCCTTTAGCTTATTACTTGAGGCAGTTTTGATATCACTTAGATGCAGTATGTGGTTTTGAGCCTCCTCAGCAAACCTGAATTACAGTATTCAAAGCTGTGAGAAAAGCAGAAAGATTTGTTTTTATCTGTAGATATCTTGTAAAATCTGAACACCTGCTGAACCTTATTCTGCTCTCCTGGACGCCAACGGCACAACCATATTCTTGACTGTGAAAAAAAGCAAAGGAGCAGTAATTCTTCACTTCCTCTGAAAACTTCCCTTTTAAGGCTTTGCTCAATTGCATTTTTCTGTATTTTCAAGGAGAAAAAAAAAAAGGCTTGGCTTTGATTTAATCCAAGAAAGCAATGCATGCTGCTGCATGTGGAACATTTTCTATGTACACTTAAGACACCATGAAAATTTGCTTCTAATTACAGCAGATTGAAGTCTGCTGATTGACACTCCTTCATGAAGTTCTCCTCCCTGTCTCCTGTCACTGGAATGCTTAAGACTCAGATGAAAGAATGTCTAAGTCAGCATGAATATTGCAACACTCTGCCACCCAAATACCCACTTTAGGAGTGTATTTTACAGAGTATTTGTTCTGCTCAGCACATATTCAAGCACTGGAAGGAAAAAGGTAAATATACAGACCTATAGAAAGACAAATAACACAGGCAAAGAAAGAAGAATAGAATCTGAGAGTAAGARAGGATAACTTAATCACAAATTTGATCACTAGCTTAATTTAATCACAAAGCTCCAAGACCCCAAAAATGCTTGAGTGAAAAACCTAAGGACTTTGACCTGAACAAGACGACGCCAGTAAAGAACATTCACCAGGATCATCCACTCGGTGAGAAGTTCGAAGTACTGATTTACTACTCTTCAACTGTGAAAGGAAGGGGTAGATTCTTACCTGTTCAGGGCAAAGGCATAATGAAACTTCACATGGTGGTGGGAGGCCAGGTCAAAAGTAGGCAGTTTTTCTAAAGTTTTCACCAGTTTCACAATGGAATCATAATCCTTGCAAAAGAAGGGAACAATGAAGTTTTAAGTGGTTACATTGAGGCATGCCTGTATAAACTCCTCCTTCAAATAAAGACTTGGTAGTTGTTATTGAGATGTATTTGCAGATTATTGCAAGTTTTACCGATTCCAGTTTCTTCAGTCTCACACTGCAAATGGCTTGGCACATTGCCGAATTGTGAGTATCCACAGCAGGGAAATACTCTTAGGTCTTTTGTACTGCTTGAATACAGTTTTAGGACATAGTTTAGCTTTAGTTCATGTCTATGAAGTTAGCTGCAGGGCTGAATACATTTCGCAGTTCAGACTGGATGGACATATTACAATGCTAATTGCACCTGCATTAAAGTCTCCCAAAACTCTGAGGTAAGCATAAAAGCATAAAACCAAAACATAACCTTTCAACAGAACCTTTTAGTTCATAAAGTGGCTTACTCAGACATATTTAACAAAAAAGTCAAATGTTTTAGAAGCAACAGCTATTAGTTGCAATTATGAATAACAGAGTGAGAAGTTACTAGCACCAGTCAGACAAGCAGAAATGCACCCAAGCATATTGCATTGCCCTGAGGAACACCCTAAGTAGGGCGACACAGCTCGCTCACAAGAATACACCTCTGTATAACACAGAATGCTACCACAGCCTTCAAGTCACATACACTGAAAGCTCTTCGTCCCGTATCAAAGCTGAGGTGAATAATAGTTTATATATGATGCCAACGTTCTTAGGTGTTATTATATATAGCTGGAAAGCACTGTTATTTTAAAGAAGTACTAGGAAGTCTATAACTACAAAACAAAGCAAAAAGCATCAGTGAAGATACCATAAGGGATTTTTACTAGTGTCTGTTACTGGTGTAGTTTGATAGATAGCAAAACAGGGCAAACTAGACTAGAAATTCCATTTCCATTTCCTCCTTTGAGGCCCAAAAATACTCTAAAATTCATACCTGAATGTCTCTGTAGGACAGCAGTAGGTTTATGACAATGTCAGCAGACAACACTTCAATGTTATCCACTCGCTGTCGAATCCTTGCCAGCTCCGCCGCAAGCTCTTTGCCTGTGTACAGGGTCCGGGCCTTCCTGATATCATTGAGAATGGACTGCCGGAAATACTGGCTGGAGAGCAACAACTTCGTGTTAGCAATTTGGGACAATGTCCTTGGTGTTTTTGTTTCTGGCTCTACAGCTCTACCACAATTCATATTTGGAACGTTTGTTGAAAGAGCATTTGTTGAATCAATGGAAAGATTTAGTCCAGCTAAATTATTCAGAAGGAAACGTTATCAAATCCTCATCACCCTGAGGCAAAACAGTCTTGCATTTGTACTATCAATACAAATATATCCATTTTACAAAAGGGTATGAAAAATGAACTCACCTTGAGCTGGCCTGTGCCACTTTTAAGAGTTGAATAAATCGATCTACCAAAGGTAAACATATAGGCCCAAGCAGCGACTCAAAATTGGGCTGCATCAGTTCAGTCAATCCCTTCATGAAACTACTGTCGCAGCAGTACACCTTGTTGTGCGGAGTTATCATGTAAGGAACAAATATGTAGTTACCAGTACACATCTGTAGGAGAACAAGACACAGTAGTTAGGGCAGGGGTGGTGTGACAAGCCTCGGCGTCAAACATTTGCAGATATTATGTGCTGAATCCACCTGTCAAAAACCAACGTGAGATTTGCTGCTTACCACGGCAACGCAAGGATTTTAATGGATTGTAAAACCCAGGATTATATAAATCAATTTTCATCTCAAATCTGATATACACTTTTAATGTATTCTTTTGGATTTCTGAACTGTTTTCTATAAAATGAGTCCTTTTAAAGACAGCACTTTTGCCTTAAAATAGCAAGCACATTGGATAAATAGGAAAGCAATTTTGAGAGCGTACGCACCACAAAGTGACAGACAGGCTTAAATGCAAGGCAAGGTTTCAAGGTGTTTGTCAGGCTCACAGATGTTACACACAGACCAATTGTAGCACAACATGAAAACTGAGAACACTAATCCTCGTACGAACTGCAAGGTGACTGACAGAGTTTAGGATGACAATGACAAATGAAACTCCCTGCTGTGCCRCAAACCTTTCTGGCCAGTGGGACTTACAACCATATGTACGTCAGAATAATCACTTTTGGAATGTTTTCGAATTGGCAGACTACATAGAATTCCATATAGCAATGTATGATAGACACTCTGGAGAAAAAAATAATTTCTTCCAGGAAAGAGGGAGGAAAAGGATCTGGTGCTTGCGGTAGGTACAGTGTTTGAATATTTGCGCTGAATACTTGCGGTTCTAAAATACCTCAGCTTTGGAAGAGCGTGCCATCAAAATCAGCAGGAGGTCACAGAATCCCAGAGTGGTTGAGGCTGGAAGGGACCTCTAGAGTTCATCTAGTCCAAATCCACCCATTCAAGAGGGACAGAGTTGCACCACTTGGCTATCAAAGTTCAGGCTCCGCTTCACTTTTGTATACGTTCTACTATTGAGGTGTCCAGCAACACAGCAAGAAAAAGTCCCAGAAAAAAAAATGGGAGATCCTGCATTTTGGTGCCCCTAAATTCTATCCAAAGGCTTCCTACTTTCCAGTTAGCTTCTTCTGCTCCCCCAGGAGTTATGACAGCAATGAGGACAATTTCAGAGCCTCCTCTGGCAAGTTGGGCCCCATACACTGAGATGCAGTCAAATGCATAGTTTTAAAATGCATAACACCAGGTGTGCATATAAAACATGCATTTTAATGTGCATGTAAAAATTTTAAGAATATGGAAGTCAGGAGGTACAGAGCATGTTTTGTATAGAAATAAGAGACTGGCTATGGAAAGTGCAGGAATGATATTTTTAAAATTATACCTATTAGGCTGTGAAATCATAAGACCTCATTATACAGCCCCAACTGATTCATACAAAGAAACTCTGTAGAATTTAAGCTTTTCTGGCATATGCGCTTTCAAGAGATCCACTGAGCTTTTTATAACTAACTCAGAATTTGGTTGGAGATTGTTGCATATAAATCTCACTGCATAAGAGTGTAGCAATCCCACAGCAAACTTGAGAATTAGGATGTGTGTGATGACAATATTTTTAATAAGCAATTAAGCAGTGCAATCCAAGCTGCTTCTCTTCGCAGTGTAACAGCTGAACAGACATTTCTACTGAGGAACATACCAGCCCTTTCAAGAGAAAAACAATCAAACAGAAAACCTCCACCCCTTTAACTCCACTAAACCCTAATAAGCTCTACAGTCAAAATCATAAAGGAAAAGAAGATGTTGATAGAACATGATTATATACTCTTGTTATTAAAAAGTAGGCAATCTGTTCCCCATGTTTTTTTTTCCCTTTTGTTAATAAAGGTGAAAAGTTTGGGAAGCCAGAGCCAAGAGAAAAGGCAAGTGGCTGCAGATTTCCAGGGGCAAATATTTTACTTCCTAATGTTTAGTCAGTGCGTTAAAAACAAACTTGAGGAGGAAGGAGGCTTGCAGGAAGATTTCTCTGACCTCTGGCCCACTAAGCTCAGTTCTTAAATAAAAGTCAACTCTGAAAAAGGATGTTTCCAGCTTTTGAAACCCACAGAGCTCAAAGTTTATCCTGGCATAATGGCCAGGCCACCTACAGAGACAGGGCTGGAGTCTTTGTAAGTCGTTCTGCGAGCAGGAAGTCTACTCTTCCCCCTCACAGAACAGAGTGCCTGTGTCTATTTTTGAGCAAGAGCTCTCACAAACTCACCCTGAATGTGCTTTCTGTAGGAAGGACACCTAGGCTGGTAGAACAAGAGAGCCAGCAAAAATTAATTCCCACACATTTTCTCCACTAAAAAAGAAGCACCTGGAAACGCGACAGAGCCTGCAAGGGAGGAAAGGCAGAGCCAGCAGCCTCCAGATGCAGAGTATCACATAAGCAGCAAAGAATTGAACAGTAAAAGGCAGGAAAAGCTGCAAGGGAGAAAAACAAGAGAATGAAGCAAACCCACAGAGATCCAGAGAGCCGTACAAGCAACACAGGTTTCTCCGGGAATTGTCTCAAGGCAAAGTCTCACCTGGATGTCTTGGCATCTGGCAGTGTGGGAACATAGCTACCTTGTCCTCAGCCTGACTTTAATTTGGGTGTTAGCTTAACCTAGACATGCTTTGTGGGGAGCTCTGTATCTCTGAAACCTCAAAAATTTGGCCGAACAAGCAGATACAGCAAGAGGGTGGGGAAAAAAAAAAAAAAGTGTAAGATCATAAGTTTCTATTTCCTTTGTAAAACTGGTTAAAAAGAACAACTTCATATTCAGCGAAGTTAAGAAATACAGATCTGAATTTCACACTCCAAGATAAAGGTTATATTAAGTATTAATAAGCTGGACTTGATTAACCTAGGACAGGTGACCTAATGGAAAAATTAAAATCTAAGTTACATTTTATTTACTGAAGGAGGTGGGAGAAGGAAGATAAGATAAGTGACGGCAGGACTGCTCCCACATAATAAAGTCCATGGCCTCCCACAACGGCTGGTCTATAGGTAACAACAGGAAAAAAAGAGAACACTGTGCTGCCAAACGGGGCTGCTTCTGCAGTTTGGGTTGTAACAGTGCTGACATCCTACAGATCCGGACACAGAGAATTCCCTGAGCAACATGTTACATGGATACCAAACCCTGGCTTTTAGGTTTTAAGCAAAAGTCRTCCAGATTACTGCGTTTCGGTGCTGTGCCGTAAGGGCTGGCAGCATCTGCYGTGCCGCGGCACGCCAGGCCGGCCCTGGGCGCCAGCCCTGCGCCGCCGCGAGCAAGCCTTGGCGCCGCCGCCTCAGCGCTCGGCCGCTGCCCCTCGGGAGCTGCCACCACCCTCTGCAGCAGTCACTGAAGAGTCATTTCTCTAGAAAAAGTTAAATATTTTGTCGCCATCRCAAATCCCGTGACGGGCACGGGAGCCCGCTGGGCAGCACTTGAGGAGCTGCTCCCCTGCCAGGCAGGGCCAAACCACCAGCCCAAGAGCAGAGCCTGGGCTCTCCTCCCTCCTGGCYCCCAGTGCCCACAGCCTCAGCCCAGTTGCTTCACTGCTTCACTCCAGCCCAACTCTGCTCTCACAAACTCTTTCCCAACCCTAATTAACTCCACTCAAGACTAGGTTTGCTGAGTGCCCATGACCAAAGAGCTACTTCTCCTTTGATCCACTGCTCTGACTCACCCCATGGCATGCACAGAAACTAGCAGCACCAAAGCTATTCAAGAAAAACTTTAAGAAATTCTTTGCTKTGAGGGTGACAGAGCCCTGGCACAGGCTGCCCAGGGAGGCTGTGGAGTCTCCTTCTCTGGAGATCTTCCAAACCCACCTGGATGCCGCCCTGTGCCCCGTGCTCTGGGTGTCCCTGCTGGAGCAGGGGGTTGGACTAGATGATCTCTAGAGGTCCCTTCCAACCTCARCCATTCTGCGAAAAACAGGCCATTTCTGAAGGAGCAGCACCCAAAGCACTATTGCAGTACTCTCCGTTACATCAACGCACCCTTTTAAGGTGCAAATAGCATAAGGGACTTAAAAAGCGGTCAGGAAAAGTTCCCCAAACCAAAAGCAGGTGCTAGAAGTGTCATTTTCCAGCCCAATTTGTTTACGAGTCATCATCATTTACAGTTTCAACGTTCAAAATACAGCCCTGAAAGTTTTGATGTTTCTGCAGGTCACCTGAGCCACGAGCTAAGGCGCATTTGGAAAAACATGGAGTGAAGGGGCCGGGGCCAGGCCTGCAGCGAGCGCGCGGGCAGCCCGAGGCACAGGAATCCGGGGCATTCGATAAGGACCATGCCCTGAACTCCYCCATCATCTGCACTGGTTATATCTGGGAGATAGGAGCACACGTATCTGCACAGGCTTCGGGCCAGCACATTTGGTACCTGGCGGCATCAGGCAAATATTAGAGAGAATTTGTACCGCGGTACCACAGCCCTTGTCGGCAAATCAGCCCGAGTGATCAGAAAGCAGAAGTACTGGCTGGAGCCAGTGATACCTGCATGAATGTTTACCTCCAAGTGACTAAATCTGTGAACCATTTTAAGAATGTTTTAATTGCCCCATATTTTTTCTAATGTCCCTTTGTAGTATCCTGTTCAAGACATTCCTCTGCTAGTTCTAATAAGACCTGGTGCTATATAAATGAACATTTCTGTTCTGCACATTCAACTCAGACCTTGAGTTTACCTTCAGAAGGACGACGAGAATCTTCCACATCCTAGCAATCCAATGGTGCCCAGTCCTCCCAGTTCCCTGAGGTTCTTTATCAACATTACCCTTTCGGAACCATTTAACAGACCAATATCCACAGACAGAAGAAAACCGTCCTTTAAGATGAGAAGCACAACCCCCCATACCTCACTTCTTCCACCAGCACCCCAAACACAAGACGTCTTGCTCATGGATGGCAGCATCTGACAGGATCCCACTCTCCTGCCCAGCCCACAGGCCAGTGCACCTTAAACTTAACTTGTTTTCTGAAAGATCAGCAGAGGAGACAAAAATTACCAGCCTCTCACAATGGAAACTATTTCTTCTTGCTGACTCTCATTTAATTATAATTAAGCTACGTTTTTTGTACTTTCCCTAATAGTTCTCTTTTGAGAAGTATCTGCTCTTATTTCATTTCTCCTGATGATCTGATTTTTATTAAAGGCAATTCTATGACTGCACATGGTATTACAGGCAGCAGATGGTCAAATCCTAAAACAAGTTATTAAATCTATTCCCTTCATCCCCCAAACATACAGTAAATCTACAGGTGCTCATGTTTTAATGAACACAGACTCACAGTTTGAGTTCACTCCAAATCTCACCCAAGTGGATGACAGCCTTGCTATTGATCTGAAAAGGAACATAACCAGGTCAAGCATCCCAAATCAATCCCAACCACAGAGACTGGCTCTGCTCTGTTAAATAGTTCCCATTTTCTTGTGATGCCCAGAAATGAAAGCCTACTGCAACCATGCTACATCCTAAATGCTTCCTAAAAAAATGGGGTATCTTTTACTTTTATCCTTTCATCATGTTCATGCAAGGAATGTAAAGTTCTAACTTTTTCCAAGGCAAGTATGTGCCAAATATATTAGTAAAGGACTTCTAAATGCACAGGAGTAAGCAAGAGATGCTGAGGTACCATAAATAACAMTAAATACCGCAGTTGTCATTAGCAACACAGTATTTACTGATGGTTACTACATGTTCAGTATTTGAATACCAAGACCAAAGCGTTCCCAAATCATTTGCCGGAGGGGAGCGTGTGAAAAGCCCCGGATCAGCCGCGGCCCGGCTCTCCCCGGCCCACCTGGCACCCTGGGGTCCCGCTCCTGAGGCCACTTGGCACTCCGAGTCTAGGTGGCCAAGAGCCTTAAACCACATCTGAGCTCTGTGCAAGGTGCTACCGAGACTGGCTGCAAGTCTTATGTGTAACATGTGAACATTAATGTGACTCATATTCATTCAAAAATGAAACGAAGCGGGGCAAAACCAACCACTTGGAGCCTGGCTTGGAGCTTTTCTTCAAAGCTGGTAGCATCCAAGCTAGGGAGAATTAGAATGAAATAAAAACTAGGGAGCTAAAACTAAGTACAGTCATGTGCTGTAACCTTTACTCCGACATCTCTTTATGACTGAAACTCTTTACTAATAATTCCTAGAATGGTTTTGCTGCTTGGTTGACCTCAGAGATCAGATAACAGCAAAAACTAAGCTTTAGTTTTTGAATATCAAAGCAACTGCCTCCTGTCAAAGTATCACTCCCTGTAAAACGACATTTTTTTGATACTACTGGAACATTTGGAAGAGATCCAAGCTCTATCAACTCAATAGCTATAAAACCACATATAACAGGAAATGAGTCTATGTTAYCTCTCACTGCTGCGCCCTTACAAGTTTCATGCAGTTTACCCTCGCCATGTAATATCATATTCATCCTTATTTGGAGCAGAAAAATCCAGAAGACAGAAGAAAAAAGGGATTTGGGTTTAAAGTGCATTGGGATCCTGGCTAGATCCAGCTGAAAATGGAAATTTATTTTTTCATCTATGCCTACATTTTCTAGAACTGCAGGATTAAAGTCTTGTTTTACTCAGGCGCCAGTTACATTTTTTCCATATTTGCAAAATCAATTGTTCACATAACTCTTTCTGGTAAGAGTGGGCATCAAAGTCAAGGTCTCTGAAGAACGATACCTTTCATGTATCAACTTATCCCAAAGTCTCACAATTTATGAACAAATATGATTTTCAGAAAACAGGACTTGCACCCATCACCTTGGCCGCTAAGCCAGTCTTACTGACTCTCCTGCTCTAACCCCTGGGAAAATACTTCCTCCCAGAAAAGATGTTGTGTGGGTGTGCTTGAAAACACCAGAGATTCTCAAGGAACACATTCTTTATGCAGCTTCTACTAAAACATTTCTAGAAGTGGGAAATGACACCTTCTTAGCCACCTATCCMAATTTAAATGCACAAGTGGAACAACTCTTTATCAAATGGATAAAGGTCAAGCTATTATTCCTCCCTCTACCTTAGCTTCACGGCCTATCATTTAAAAATGGCACAACAAGACAACATTACCACTCTTTCTAGTGCACAAACCAACATTACAGCCCAAGAGCCCAAGTGAGCTTGTTGCCTAATAACAGTTTTCTTTCCCCTGGCTCCTCTGAGGCACCGTGTTGGAGTGTCACACTGTTACCTAGATTCCTGTCTATCCGRGTTGCCAGACAGAAAAAAAAAMCACCACAGAAACACCACAAGAGGTAGCACATGACTTTACACAGAAGGCCTTACTTACTGTTCTCAAAGTTTCTTTTGTCTGTGTAAAGCCCTAACTGGTTATTTTCATTAGCACAAGAGATTTCTGGTTTATCATGCCATTCATAGCATTCTGTGAATCTCTGGAAAGCACTTTTTTTGTCAATAGATACAGAGAAAAATACTAAACCTGCTTTGCTTTTCTGTTTTTTACCGAAAAAGAACACATGATTTAAAGTTTAGCATTAGGGCCAAGCTTCACTGACTTTGGAAGTGTCTTGGGAACTTACACTGGTAAATAATCGCATCCTTCTCAAAGAAGTCTTTTCATAGTGGCAGTCATCAGTAGTTAAGTCTACAAACTGCATTTAAAGAGTTAAAACCCAAACCAAACAAAACCCCACATAGAGCAAGAGGGCAGCTGTGGGCCCGGGCCCCACACGGCAGCCCTCAGCCAGAGCTCTGGGCTTTCTGGAAGAACAACACGGACGAGGGGAGCAAGTGGGAAAAGACAACGAGAAAAAACACTGCAAATAACAGWTAAAAATGGTGTGGGGAAAAATATGCTGGAGAAGTACAGGCAGCAAGGAAAATTTTACAGAGAGATGAAAGCAAGGTGAGAAGGGAGCCTGGTACCTAGCAACAGAGCGATGTACACAGGCTTTCTGCTGGGGCTTCCAGAATTCTGCATCTAACTCTAAAATACACTACGAAAATGTTAAATGATTCAAGCAGAAAACAGAATCAGATAAACAACATTAAATGGAACAGAAGGTTGGAATGCCTAGGATTCAGCTGACACCCATAAATCATACTTACATTATTCTTCTGGCAAATAATTTCCTGGGGGAAAGAAGGAAAAAAAAAAAGTGTTAATAGCACYGAATAACTACTAGGAAAGATATCTGATCAGTCTGATTTGACAATATTAACATTTACAGCACACATGACAGGAAAAGGAGATGTTTTCTAAGCCTGTCAAATCAATCTAAATAAAATTCYGTCTCAGGAGACACCAAAAGACTACAGAATGGAGTGCATACATGCACACAAGCAAAGTCTGTGGAATTTTTTTCCTAGGGGGCCCCTGTCCAAAAGCTGTGCATGAATACATATGTATTCATAGTTTATAAGTTAAAATAAGGGCCATTATGCTGTCAGAGGAAGAAACCTTAAAAATAGTACAAGTGTGATTTCAAGTAGTTTAAAACTGACTTGCACTGAAAGACAGAAAAGCATTAGCTTCTCAAATAAGTATAAACTCATGTTGCTCTAATAACTGTCTGGTAAAAAAACAAGTTTTCACAGGTTATGTGTAAGAATTCAGAGAATAGGGATTCAAAGCAAGATGGAAAGAGAGGCTTCTTGCCCAGCAATTGAAGCGTCCAGCCCAAGAAGCTGCCTGAGGACAAGCCACTTATGGACACTTCAAAACTTCTGTGAGCAGCTTCAGCTCTTTGCAGCCACCAACCCCACTGGGCTTATTGGGGAGCTGCTTTCCACCTCTGCCACGGGGAGCACTGAGCTGCTTCGTTTTCTTCCCAACAGGCAAAATGGAAAGTGTGAAACGGAGGCCCCCTCACACCTTCCACACTGGGAGCATCAGGCAACAGCTCTGCCTCCTGAATGAGGGRCCATGTTTCACACAGGAGCGTTGCCTACATTCAAAACAAGGGCAATTACTATGCACACATGCACGTGAATATCCCATCAGTGAAAGTTTACCTGTATTTCTTTGCACCTTAGTTAAGTCACGTGTTGGAATTTTGTGCTTGGCACATTTTCACAACCATTTCCCATTTTGAATTCACCACCATTCTTACGAACATGATGAGAACTATTACACATGCAGAAATTCGGCAGTGAGGTTGGAACGGATCCAGGAGCAAACACTGCCTGGGGGACGCACGAGCAAGCCCCCAGCACAGGCAGTGACTGTGTAAGCAGGGAAGGAGCCCTGCTCTCTGAAGAGATTTCACTGCCAACAATTAAAAGCCCTAGATCGATGGAAAGTCCAAGAAAAAGGGGCAGCCTTTCAGCAAGCAGCCAGGACCTGCAAGTGTCACTGGGCAGGACTTGGATTCCCTTGTTATGGACCAAGCAAGTGGCCAGCTTGCAAGCTAGGAATAAGTTTTCCCAGGTACCCAAGGAAGCTTCATGTCCTGCTTCAAATCACCTTGAGTGGCAGCTGGGTATTCAGCTCATCAAATTGCTAACTGAGATGCTTCTCTCTGGCAATGCCTAGAATTGAACTGAAGTGACATAAAGCACCTGCCACTCAGACCTAATGATTCGGAGGGACGGGAAGTGATTTAGAAGATTGCCACCCAAGCAGCCTGTCCTCTCCAACCCCCGCGCTTAGGGAATGAGCAGGAGGAAGCAGGTGTCAGTTTCTCGGCTGCATCATGGATTATTTTACGCTGCTACTTTGACCTCAGCCAGCCTGCCACGCTGGGAGCTGTGCCGCTGACAAGGCAGAGGTTTCCTCCCACCAACCCTGCACYGGTGCCCAGCGCAGCAGTGCTGAGGGCAGCTGCCCCCTCTAACCSAGCAGAAGGTCTGGAGGCCTCTTCAAGCTCGCCCAGGAAACTGCTCCTTGCTGTGGGAGCTAAAGCATCAGGACTGTCCTGCTACACCTGCACGCCCCGTCCGCTCTCATCTCACTGTTCTCCACCACGACAACTTACCACACGGCAGGCTGGTAATTCCCTTGAATGTCAAAAATATGCATGTAATTTCTATTTTGAAATTTGTCAATTTTTGCATGAACAGCTATTTAAAATCTAGCTATTTAACTGGCTAGGTTACAGTCACCTAAATCTTCTCTTGGCAAAGCTAACATGAGTTTTCCAGCACTTCACCATGAACATATTTTCCAGGCCTCAGAACATTTTTGTCATTCTTCCGTGAACCACAAKCGGCCTCTGTGTTACCCCTGCAAACAGAGAACCTATTTCAGGAGTTAGACAGCCGGGGCTTCCACCCACGGCCTTCTTGCCCCGAGAGCTACCTTGAGCGACTGCAGAGACTCCGCGTTGGTGTCACAGTAGAGGATGATGTTGTTGGCCATGCTGAAGCTCTCCCTCACTCCCAGGTGGTAGAAGAGGGAGGGCTGGCGGAAGGCATCGCTCATCTCCACCACGGCAATGTCTGCGGAAAGAAGCGAGAGCTCGAGGGTCGCTGCCACACACGGGTCAGAAAGCCAAATATCGCCGAGGTGGTTTCTTCCCCACTTGTTTTGCTTTGATAAAACAAGGGGATTTTAGGTAGAAAATAGAGAACTCAAGGGATTTCCCCACATTAGTTACTGAGCCTGGATTTTGAGTACAGTCAGCAGGATGTGGTATAATTTTGATTCGTTATTCATTTCGTTCTTCCTCACTACCCTTTTTTTTTTTTTTTTTTTTAATTCAGGAACCAGATTAAAAAAGTTTAAAAAATCACTAATCAAGCATAGGTAAAAAATTCATTTTCTTCCTTAAATGAAAAATAAATCTGGTTATTCTGCATATGTTGATTGATGATATTAGGGGAAAAAATTATATTTGATGCCTATTTTCATCCTCTGGGCAAGCTGTTCTTAAAAACTCATGTAACATTGATATTGCATGACATGCAATGTAGATGCTGTATCAGATTTTGGAAGAAGTTAATTTATTCTTTAAAGAAAATATCTGTAAAATTGAAAGCAAGGCAAAAGTAAAATTCCAGTATAAGTTATCACAGAGATTATTTGGATTTAAATAAGAAGACTAGGGGGGAGAAGGCGGCAGCACAGCAGGAAGGAAGGAAAGAGGAACTGAATATAATAAAGCCATAGAAAACTCCAAAYGAGCTTTACTGCACCAAGATAATAATTCTGTTCATAGTAATCCAACGTCTATGAATAAAACTGAGCACATGCACAAATGCTCAGGGCCAGAGGAAYGCAGCCTCCTGCAAGGGCTCTTCAAACACACGCCTCACCTTCCCATATTCACAGCAAAGKSAAACTAGAGGCAATCACAAAATGCCTGCAGAAATAGTTACAGCCCCTGTTATATCAGGCAGCRTCTTTCCTCTGCAACGGTCTCGTCAGAGCAAAAGAACAAAACAAACAACCTGAGTCATCTCCACCTCTCTTCAACACCCCTCTGTCTCCTCGCCCAATTCACTTCTTTCTTCTCTGCCAAGGAGGCAGAGAAAAGAATATTTCAAAATAAAAACACATAATTCTGTGAAAAGAACACAAACAAAGCTGGTTTCCAGCACCTCTCCCTGCTTTCTTCTTCCTGAGGATTCTTTTATGACAAAATCACAGAGCAAGATAAGCTCTGCTGGAAAAAAGCAGCTGCATCTTGAGGTTCCTCTCCCTGGAGTCGGTTAGGTCCAACGGATCTAATACGAGATTCTGCCTCTAACCACAACTTTCATCCCGCTTATTTCCTCGGATTATCCAAACCATAACACATATACTCGAGAGAATCAGCATGGCCATACTTTATGGCCATACTCTCAACTGGGGAATTCCTCTAATTTCCTGTAAGTGCCTCAAAGATGCTGTTTTTCCTCTTCAGTCATATACAACTGTAACTGATCTACAATCTTAGGCATTATTAAGAAGCCATAAGGAAAAGCAGAGACTCAGAGGCACAGATAGACAGTATCTGCCTAAGTAAATTCTTTAAGACACAAGGTTAATGCGAGGCCATTACCACTGCTTTAAAAAAATCTATGTTGTTAATCAAAAATAAAATTCTAATTTTAAAATTTTCATAATTTGTCTTCTCACAATTTCCCTTGTGCAACTTCACATAAATATTTTGAAGTGTGGATTCCTTCAAACGCATTTTACTGAAATTAAAAGAAGGCAGCACATTGCTTACCTCACACACACACTGACCTTCCCTAGCTTTGGGAAAGTGAAATACAGCAAAAGCCAAATAGGAATGGTGAAACTGCTGAAGTATTTTGTTTGGGTGAAATTATGACTTGCTTATTTTCTTTAGGAAGTTGCCATAGTGCAAGTTCTATTTTTAACTGCTATTACTCGCATAAAAGTCTAATCTTGAGCAATTTTAAGTCTATGGTACATTTGTGTTACATGGAGAAAGAGGAAAGCTGACCAATTTTCCATGACTTAATTCTCAAATCCCCAAGATGGCCGGCTATTGCAAGAGCTTCAAAACTAAGATGAAAATAGATATAGTATTTACAAAAAGAAACCAAAGAGATAGCAAGTGACCAAAATTAGAATCCAGAAATTTCTGAGAAATTCCATGTTAAAAGGTTAAGCTCCCTCACAGAACCATGCAGAAGGAAGAAAATACTTAAAAATCACTCTCTGAGATCATCTGGCCAAATCCATTTAGTACTACTATTAGAACATACCAGACCTTGGACCACACTGCATGAAAGGGGTGCTTGGATGTTGACCTGTCCCTCAAATTAAAGCTAAACCAAAAAACTACATTCACAACTTCAAAGTCTGGATTACTTAAAATGAAGAGGTAAGGACCATGTGCATAAGTAAACATTTGTAAGAAAAACTACACTAAGGTATTGGCACATATATTCTCTTGATACTTGTATTTCTTCTGTAACTAAAGGAGATTAATTTCCTTGCTATTTTAAAACTTCCGTGGAATCCAGAGCCTCTAGACAGTCTCATGTGATAAAGCAGAATCAGGATTAGCCCAGTCTCTCACTCTTCCCTCCAGAGGAGCCTCTCTCTTTTTAAGAAAAAGCTGAAGTTCATAACCCTGGCCAAAGAGCGAAAAAGGGTATCAGAGCTCTAAGTTTCTGGCTAGTTTCCATAGTCAGCATCAAAGACTCCAAGGGAACCAGACAGCCTTACTAGGAAGTCCCACACGCCACAAAATACGTGTGCACTTTGGGGACCCAAAGTCTCTCCGATAGAAACCTGTATCCTAGGTGGATTCCTGTGACAGATCCGTTCCTGAATATTTTCTTTCACAATATCTGGAAAGAAACACCTTGTACATTCAGGGGAACAAAACACCGCCRTGCAGGGAATCTGCTTCCTACTATCCTGCAAAAAATGGGCGTGAGGGACCAGGAGGAACTTTACGTGACCCTCYAGCCCGCGAGGCAGCGGGGGCTCGAGCACTCGCCCCTGCAAGGCGGCTCTCTACAATTTGGCATACGCTACAGCTACCTGACTAAACAATTCCTACCTGCTGAGTCAATTAGCTCCGTTCTCTTCCAGCAACATGGGCATTAACATACAAATTTCTATTTAATCTACTCTTAATTAATCTTTCCTGAGAAAAGGCTGAAGACTATCATACAATAACAAGATCAAGAAGGGTAAATATCCATTACTGCATATAAAGCCCTTTGCTCCTGGCTATTACCAGAGCTTTTAGTGTCCAAGAAAGYGATAAATGAAACGCAGAGGCCAAAGTTTGTCTCCCACTCATTAATTCAAAAAAACAACRGAGCAAAGAAGAAAGTTCACACAACTACTCCCAGCTATTACATACGTACATCTTACTTTTGGATACTACCTGCTTACTACAAGACAAGCTCATAAAAATAAGGAGTACAAGGAGTGCTGCTATCAACCTAATGAGTGTTTAGGCTTGCTGTCATCTGCCAGCTGATTTTTGCTAATCACTGTTGCCTCACATCCACTGTCCAGCAATTAAGGCAACACAAAAACTGTTGCAGCAGCTTCTTGGACAGGCCACTATTTAGTTGTCTAGGAGGGGTGTTTGATTTTGTTTTTCCCTCCCACTTGGGGTTAAAAAGCAGAGGCTTTTCCTAGAGATAATAGGCAGAAAAAGGACTTGGGAAAAAAATCATTTCAGCGCAAATTTCAGCATGAAGTGTCTCCCATAGTGCAGTAGCACCCTGTGCTCAGCACTATAACTAGGGATTCAACAAGATGCGACATTCCTTACTGAGAGCGCCTTCAGGAATGGGCAAAGGGGAGCTGCCCCCACCTCYTCCTCCATGCTTCCCACGGTTCTCCCTCCTGAGACGGCCTGCGTGAGCTGGGAAGCCAGCTCTGGAAGCCACCGCCGCGCAGCGCTGCTCGGGAATTCTGCGCCCCATCCATCGAGCCGCAGCACCCTGAGCGGCCCGAGACCTCGAAGCAGCCACGTCCTGTCTCGGGCCCCTCAGGTATTTGGCGGACGGGAAACGGCTGCTGAGGGCCAGGCRGGTGGGACGGCCGAGCACGGGGAAGGGTGGATGTCCCAGGAAGCCCGGCCAGCTGAGCCAGTCCGGCGGGAGAGGCTACTCAGACTCCACGGATGCACCTCCGGAGTGGACATGAGGAAGGAGAAAGGGTAYGGGCTGCACCCGTGAGCTAAACACTCCAGTGTGTGCGTCGGCTGCAGTAAAATGTCCCGATCAAGGGGAAAGGTTCTCCCTTCGTGCGGACGTGGATCCACTTGCTCACGATCCCCAGATGTAACATCAGCACAGGAAGGAAAGCTCCCCACAACACAAGACTGCACAAAGTCTTAAAAAATATATACCTAGTCCCATTAGAGATATGGGACATATCTCATATAAACGCTATCTACATTTTAGCATTTATGCCTGTATTTATAAAGACTGTATATGATTCAGTTCAGTTCTCGTGACTCTGCTCAATAACAAAAAAACAAATAAAAAAGCTAATCAGTTGAACCATCTTTCCACTTTTAAAAATACCAATAACTGCCAATACAGTGCTTGATGGCACAACTGGTTAAGGTTGGAAGGCACCTCTAGAGATCATCTAGTCCAACCCAAGGATATTTGTTCCCTAAAGAGGGGAGTGTATAGGAACCAGCACGGCAGCCACCTGGACAAATCCAAAAGACTATCCCAATGATCTGAAGAAGGTACGACAGTAAAGAGTTTTTGCTGCAGAAAGTAAAATAAAAAACAGACTGAAGAATTCAGTCTATCCTGGTTGAAAACAARGGACTGCAAGAGTATCACATGATTACAACCTCCAACAATTGAAAAACAAAAACCCTCTCACCTTGATGCATGTAGGAGGAATTCAGGATTAGGCAAGAATAAAAGCTGACAAGCAAACTGAAAGCCATGCATTTAAAAATAACCTCAGGCTCACAGCAGCTGTTTAAATCCCAGTGAAAAAGGCTTTCTAGTCCCAGGAATATCACACCATCTTAACACATGTTTTTGTT